GACGGCGACGCTAGGTCGTTGCGCCGAACACGCGTCGTAAAAGCTGTACTGATCTTGCACATACGGTTGATCCGGCACAGTGTTGCACATGGGGTTGCCTGTAAAGTAGCTGATATCGGCGCCGCGCCAGTGCAAAGGCACGACGTCGACGGTGACGGGGGCCAGCGTGAAGTAGTTGGAAACAGATGCGAGCAACATGGGCACCACACGTTGCTGGTACGTCAAGAAATACGCTTCGAGCGGCGTTGGCTTTGGGGCGAGGACAACGTCCATGCTGCCCATAGGTCCGACATGCTGATCGATAAAGGGTCCGAGGATCGCGTCCACTTGCAGCGCGTACGAGAGCACTTCCCAGCGCAACTTGATGTCGTCGGACGCGTTGGTGGCGCCGCGAATGAGACTGCAATGGATGGCTTGACACGTAAACACGTCGTTCCATAGTCCTTGGTACGCTACGGACAGCGACCACAAGGCCAAGCCGCGGTAGCTTTGGGACGTGGTGTGGATCGTCACACGTGTGTGCAGGCCAAGCGCGTTCTCAATTTGAATCGTCTCCTGGAGTCCTTGTTCGTAGTAGTTGGTCAGCTGCGTTTGCCAGTACGTTAGCCCAACGTCGTACCAGAGACGCACTTCGTCGTCGATTGGTAGCCAGTGCGTCGCCCAAAGCGATTCGAGCCAAGAGGCGCCAGCGTCCGAGCTCTGGATATGCTGGAAAAGTGACACCGCGAGCGAGCTCCCGTACGAGCCATTGACAACGTCTTGGGGTACCGAGTTGCGCAGCAGCGGTTCCCAATAGACAGCGCCGTTGTGCGTCATACTGCGATCACACCGCGCTTGGCGACGCGCGGTGGTCGAGAGCTCGTAGACGCGACCCATATCGACCCAGCAGTACTGCGCAAACATGCGCGCGTTTCGATCAAAGCTTGTGTGCCGTATCGCACGGATAACCGTATCAAACGAGATGTTGGCCAAGAGTACTTGGCGCGAGAGCGACATCGTCATGTCGATAAAGGTACTGGCGTCATCGCCATAGACCTTTTCCAAAACGACCTCGGGTGACGTCAGTGGGACTGCATATGAAGTTGCGAGCTGGAGACGCCGGTGAAAGATGTCGGCGAGGAAGGTCTGTGGTCCGGACGTCGTGAAACCCGCCCACCAGAGGTCGTTGGCGATATTGGGCTGCAAGACGACGAGCAGAAAGTAGAGACTGAGAGCGGTCGAGAGCAGCACGTAGACACAGCCGGCGAGCGCGAGACGCGTTTTGTATGGCTGTGGAATGGCTTGGAGCTCGCTAATGGAGGGCGCAAATGGCGCGATCATGTTTCGTGGGCGCCGTGTCGGACTTTGAATGTGGCCGTTTCCCCTCTGTTGTTTTGCCCTCAATACATGAAACGGGGCAGGACGCTGTGGAGAGCGCAGCCGAAACGATCTCTTCGAGAGCGGAGCTGCAGCGGAGGTGCGAAAATGCTCTCATCTCAAATTTCGGTTCCCGTTGAGCACTCCTCCCCCGAGGCTGGGGCGGTAATTCAGGAGATACGCCCTTTTCACCCCCTGAGCACTCCCGCGTATCAAAATCCATTTTCTATGCTGATATGTGGGCATCACGTCGACTTGGCCTTGACTGAGACGCCAAAAAAAGGAGACAGGATTACGTACGAATACATGAGGACAGTCATTCTGCTCGTAGCCTTGTCGATC